GATTGCTTTGTGTAGTGATAAGAGTTGAACTACTAAATGTTTACTAATTAGTGATAAAAATAGGAGTTTTATTTGTTTCTGTCAACTTCCATGGCGAATGCTCTATTCCATCCTCATGGCCATCACTACCGTATAACCATAGATATTTATTCCTTTCAGATAATTGGTGTTAAATCGTAATGTTAACAATGGTTAACGTTTTGTTTTCTGCCTTCTATAATTTTCATGGCAGGTTACTAAGCGAAATACAACCACAACGTTGCTGAGATATTTGCAAAACTCTGGACCGCAGGTAACGCGTTACTCCCCGGAAAGGATAATAGCGCGTTCGTTCCCCACCATAGACACCTGCGGTCCAGAGTTTTGCAAATATCTCAGCAACGTTGTGGTCGTAATGTTAAAGTTTTATTTTCTACCTACTGTAACGTTTCACGGCAAGGTGTGATGTAAATTACAACTGCAACGATACTGAGATGGCTCAGCTTAACTGTGTTCAATGCCGATACGTTCTCCCAGATCAATCCCGCTGACGGGTGATTGCTAATGGCAACTTTAGGTAGAAAACTAGCTGAGAGAAACGCAGATGAAAGGCCTCCATGGTACAGTTTGTAATGCGCTAGCTGCTGGAAGGGAAAATCGTGGTTCGATTTCTGCCAGGGTTCAAGTTTTATGAATATCGCAGCACCGTTGTGATTAAAGTCAAGTTTATAACTTTACACTTGTAACAACTCATGAGGATTCCTCACTGGTAAGTTAATTTTGCAAAGTTATATTTCTTAGCGGTAAAGATTTCTTATTGGACTGGTTCATTAAATGCACTTTGAACTTACTCTGATGTGTCATTTTCGTACATTGTGGCTTAACCAGTGAAATGAAAAACTTCCCTTTTAGACGGGTTTCACCTCTGGTTTTATCGGAATCACTTGAGAAAATGTTGGATACTCTGCTTTCTTTTTATCCAGTTTGTTATTGGATTTCGTTTTTTCTTATTCGCTCTAATTCGGCTATCTAGGTAATGACCGTTTCCGTTGGTGGAATGGAGATATCGGCAGCATCTCTAGCAGCTATAGTTCGTAATGCTGATGCGAAAACGGTACGTTCTGCTGTGGAAGTAATCAGATCATGTCCATCTTCCTTCGTAGAAAAAAAGCGTTTGTTCAGTTAACTGGTAACTGTAATGCTGAGGTTCGCTATAGCTTGAGAGTTCCGCGACTTTTCTCCTTAGGAAAGGAAAAAGCGCTGGACTCCGATTAGTTGTTTGGGGATATGTTGTGCATTCGACTTCATTTATAGCACCGTAGTGGTGGTTGAATGCATATTTGGTCTACATAGTAACTTGCCAGAGCTTCCCTTTGTAATTTTATCAGCCTGAGGAAGTCTACTAGCGTTTTGCGGTCCTCAGAGAGATGATGAGTTTAATGAGACCTGGGCATCGGATAGCACTAATGACTATCTGATGGATCACTTTTAACCGCTCGAGTGCTCTGAGTGCGTACCTATTTAGCGAATTTTTTAAAGTCAAATTTTTCTTTGTTATCTTTGTATAGAAGAAGGGCGCAGATAGCACAATGGTAGTGATGCCCGTCATCACGAGCGTGGTGCTAGTTCGATTCCATTCCGGGACAACCAAGACAGTCATTTATCCGTGCTCGAGAAATTGGTACCGGACTTGTCTGAGAAGAAAAGTGGCTGTTTGCAATTCAATTGGGAACGCTTCAGCTCGGCTATCTCAGGACTCCAGGGAGAATTGCTCGACCAGCATTCTACGACATTCAAGATGAAATGAAAATCCGCAAGCAGAAACCGAAGCCACACGTAAAAACTTGGAAGACCTTCGTAGATAATGGGTACGAGGAAACGAATCGAATGTGAGAAGTGCTGCGGTCCACACAGTAGACGTGAAGACGGGCCAAAATAAAGTGAAATAGTAAAAACTTATATCTAGAAAAGGTAATCCAGACCGTTATGGTAGTAAGTTTCTCGCAAAATCTTTGCCATAGGTGGAAGTTTTTGGTTTTAGTGAAATTTTAAATCACCTACGTAGAAAGTTTCAGCTTATTATCGACTGCCGATGTTTAGCCGAATTTAAACAATCACATGTCCGTCGCGCTTTGAATCCATTCTATTCAAAACTGCTCCAACGTCGACTTTTAGAGGATAAGGTATTTTCTTCCAGCGTTCTTAAAGTTTTCTTTTTTCTAATTTAAATGAAGTCGGACCTCGAAGTCAGTTGTAAAAATTTTTTTCGCTAGTACTATTTTCTCAGAATTTGGAATCGAGCTATAGAGACTACTAAAAGGTGAGCATCAAACGAATGCACAAAGACGAGCTTGAACTACTGTACAAAATGCGTCATCCGACCCCGTTACCCATTCGTTTCGTTGTTTGGTAAAATCATCATAGAAGTTTAATTAACATGTGGGTTCGGCTGCGGTATGAGGATCTGTGATCATCTGTTCTCATTAACATACCGAATGCTGACTGAGTGTGATTTTCCCTGGAACCCCGAAATAGCCGTGCTGGGATATTTGCAGTAACTTCACTCCATGCTCTCACCTACCCTTGTGGATCGGAGGGAACATCTCTGCATTGTATTTAGGATTCTTCCTAGACGACAACGATTCATTCGATTAGTCGGTAGATCTGTAGAGGATGGTGTAACAGAACAAATCCTATATGTAAACCATTAATATGGGAAAAGCTCAACATTGTGCTTATCGTAGCCACTATTTCGTAAAGCTTTATCGATAGAAAAGCAACGGTTACGTGGAAAATAGAACGTACAGTATTCATCAATCGCTTAAGGATAGGTCATCTATTCACCTCCATTCGCAGTGTCCCACAGATGATTAGATGGATAATCACAATTTTAACCATTTTTTATTTACTGTCTATTCTTTTTAACGGCACGGTATGTTGCGAAATATAACTTCTATAATGCTGAGATATTTGCAGAACTCCGGACCACAGTTGTCTTCGGTGGGGAACGAAAGCGCTATTGTCCTTTCCGGGGAGTAACGCGTTCGCCACCACACCATGCGGGTCCTTCGTTCCAACTGTCTCTCAGCTAGTTCTATCGACCACTTGCCATCAGCAATCACCCGTCAGAACTAGCTGAGAGAAAGGCGAAACGAACGACCCGCATGGTGTGGTGGTGAACGCATTACTCCCCGGAAAGGACAATAGTGCGTTCGTTCCTTATCGCAGACACCTGCGGTCCGGAGTTTTGCAAATATCTCAGCATTATAGAAATTAAATGGATATTTGGTCTATACAGTGATCGTTGTACCAATGCCATGTTTTTTATTTTCCAAGCAAATCCGAAGTCACCTAGTCGAACCGGTGCCGACCATGTGTATCAAAGTGCACATATAGCAACTCCAGTACATGCGTCCTCACTACAAAGTTAAAAGATATATTTCTACATTTGGATACGTTTGCCGATACCATGAAGCTTCAGCTATTCTTTGGCACTTTTATGGTGAAATATTACTTTTCTGAGGTTCACGTATCTTTTTTTCACCACTTATTATCGAGGCTCGAACCTCGAACGACGAAGCGGTTGGACAAGTGGGAATTTGTCCATTAGGACAAAATGATGTCCCGAATGCGTCGTTGATGTTGGCGGCTATCACTTTTCAAAAAAATTTTGGAAAATGTTTCGCTAGCGTTCTTTAGAGTTAAAATTTTTCAAGAGGTTTGCCAGAAAAAGGCCACATTTAGAGAAATTATAAGTGTCCCATTAGTGTTATTTAGTTTTTTCTATAGATTTCCCATGTCTTGACGTCATAACGTGCTCTTGTTATGACGTAATTCTCTGCAGTTATTGAAAAACCTGATGTGCACTTCAATATTTTCGTTTTTAACGGTTGTAGTCTCCATGCTGGACGAAGAGACCTTTATGAAAAGCAGTTCTGTGTAACTTATTAGATGTAGCACATGGCTTCCTTAACGCTTAGCACAAATATCTCTATTGGACATCCTATCGATTAGGTGAAAAATTAGAGACGCGTTGAAATCAATGCGCATCGTCCCCTATGTGTTAAGTGAAACTGCCGTTTGGTTTATGTTACCATTTAGTTGATCTTCTTTGCATGAACAACTTAACTGTAAACATTGGTCATTCCTGGAACCAATCCTGTGTTTAAATAGTTGACACAGCAACCATCAGTTTATTGTTGCACAGAGAAAATTAGTGTTTGTCTGTCTAACGGTGCAAGTAGTGGAGAAGGTCGATACTATACGCTTGTGGAGTCTCCTGCGTCGCTGTCGTCCTCATGCGTTTGTCTCACATACGGGCTTATCACTCACCCTTTTGATTTAAATAACCTTATTTGTAGATAACGGGCGTTTTAATCGGATTTTGAGAGATTACTTTCCAGTTGGTTGATTAAACTCGTTTTAAAACCCAAGATCACTGATATATATTACCCCAACCCTGTCCTAATACGAGCGTCATTGGTCTTTCGCAATTAATAAGACTAGTATTCTCTTAGTCACAGTTGAGTCTATTAGTTATGCTATTAGTTGTGCTCTTTCAGACAATGATGGATTACCGTTCTCATGTCATAGAACCTAATCAAAACAAGTTGCCCGTTAGCGAATTGTGGCGTATTTTTTCTCTAGAGCGATTACTCATCAAATTGATCGCTTCGTCGTCCATTAGCGTGGTCATTCTTGGAATAGAACGCCTACTCATCACCAGCATATTCTAAACAAAGTACTCTTGTTTCCGACTGACACCGTACTCTGTTCGACGTCGACCAAAGCACACACAATAGCCATCATGTGCATTTGTCATCAAGTTGATTCAGCGTTTAGTTGTTCTCTGAATCACCACCACCACCACCACCACCACCACTGACCGCTCGTCAGTCTCAGCGGTCGTCCGCATAGGCGGAACATTGCTCATTCCATTCACTGCGAACCGGAACAGGTTCGTGGTCGTGGTCGTCATGTTCACCACGGCCGACCAAATCGCCGTGCGTTCGTCAGCCTTCGCTTCTTGGTTTGAATGATTCCTGGATAACGTATATCTTTCTATTTCCTGCCTATTCCTTTTTTGTGGCAGGATATTGTGTGAAATACAACCACAATGACGCTGAGATATTTGCAAAACCCAGATTCCAGCCCAGATTCTAACTCGCGATCATTCTTAAAATTTTTTGATAGGTTATTATCTCTCTGCTCCTTCCAGAAACTGGTCTGTGTTTATGTAACAGTCGAGATCTTTTTACCAGTATTCATACTTAAGCATATTGTACTGTGTATAATCAGTTACAGAGACGTGTTCTCGATAAACATAGAGAACTTCTCCAAATGTCGTACTCTAAGTTTTATGTTTACTTATTGTTTTGTAGACTTCAAAATCAGTATTCTTTCTTATAATATCCATTTTTAGGCATGACTCAAATCCTGCTCGCATTGACTCATACCTAAGCAAACACTGAGTCACTTAAGCATTGTCGTTGCTGAGTTCCGATTAATGCCTCATACCATTTCGAAATTACTCTAATCCTTAACAGAGTTTTGTAATCATAGTTAAGAGGTTTCTCGACAGTACATTCTATAAGGCGCATAATAGAATCTTTTGAAACAGATTATTATGCAACCCATTATAATTATTGAGGTTATATCTTCAGAAATATCTCTTTGTTGTTGGAAAAACATCTACTAATCAGAAATTGAGGAGAGCGGACTTGTGGTTTCATAACAAAAGCCTAGGAAAATAGCAAGCTACTAGATAGATGGTGGTTATCCGTAACCTTTGTATGGAAGCTTTTAGGGCTTCAGGTATTTGATTATACTGTGTTGTTATAAAATAGTTCAGATCAAAAAGTTAGTGCAGCTTTTATGGCGTGGTTCATGGCAGGTTTACACTGGCTAGTCGGTATAAAAACCATTTTTTGGGCTGTTCATCCAGCAGTTGAATTTGTTCAGAAATCATTTGTACATTCTCAAATACACCTGGTTTTCGAAATTTGCTGTGTAGGAGTTTTCACCGCTCGCCATATGTATTGAGGCAAATGCGTTCCATCACAGTGGCAATGTTAGGTTTTTGTACTGCTCCACAAGTGGCCGTTAGGCTTTGCTTGTGTTTCTGAATCAATCAGTTCCTAATTTCAAATCCTGCTGAACAATTAATTTTTCGAGTGTGGGTATCCCACATTTTTAACCGAGGTCGTTTCAGCCGATTACATTTAGTATTCTTTTTCGCAGGAATCACTATATGTTCCACAATTTCCCGTCTATTTCATTGTTAACCCCACCTTATCAAAATTTGGGCCACAAATTTGATAACATAGGGTTAATAATGATTAATTGCAATGTTTGGGTTGAATTTGTTTGAAGTCAGATCGATCACATTCGTCTCGCAAATCAGCTGCGGTCTGATTTTTATGGTGGCGAATTTCGAAACGCTATGGTGGACGTTGTACTTTATACAGACGAACAACAGGAAAAGCAGACAAGCCGTTTTTGCTCAAAAAGAAGGTATCTACTTATTTGGTTTTTCTTCATTGTGTGTACATATATTTTCAAAAGAAAGGCGTAGTAGCGAAATACACTCAGAAACCGCAAGTGTGCAATGACAGCTCGAGTACTGTGTCTACCTCAGCGAAATTCCTTGGCAATTAATGAATTGATTTAATGTCAAAATCATGTGCAATAGTAAAAACTGGCACACCCATAAGATTGCTGTGGCAGGTGACGGTGCTGACTCGTACCACGTGTGTTACGTGTCCTTCCTTCGATCGTCGAACGACTGGACCTAGGCCTGAGAAAATTCCCATTCTTCACTTTTGTGTGCCATCATTTCTCAATGGGTTCTGATTGTTCAAGACCCATGAGACTACTATATTTTTTCCTCTACCATCTATATCCTCTTGTCGAGCCAGTCTGTTCGTGCCACTTATAATGTTGGTGGAGGAATGATGAAGTTATGGCCGTAAAGTTGCAGTAAAATTGTTTAGCTCATAAAGGTTCTTCGTTCACTGCGCAGCTACACCGTAGTTTTCAAAGTTTTCTTGAAATTTTCTGTGTCAAGTGAATTCAAGTCTTCTTAAGTGGGTGAAAGTCATAACGTGGCGCGCGATCTTTTTAATTTTCCATTTACTAGGCGCCTTGCAGTGTGATAGGCTACGCGTGAAGAATTGAACCAGCGTGTTATTGAAGGTGGGTGATAGGTTTCCCAACTGGGTAGAATGGGAATTTTTACCAACAGTCTGTTGAACTTCGAAAGAGAACCATTTTAATGACATTTTCACAGCCACTGATACGTCGTAAAGGTGATTAGAGTAGAAGTTGTGGGCAGTTTCCTTACGTAAACGTTCAATAGTTTTGAAAAGGGGTGGTTGGCTTTCTACAGTTCGTACGGTTTCACGTTGACATACCAGGTCGAGAAATTCTGGAGAAAGTCATCATTTTTGGAGAGACTGTAGCTTTTAGATGTCTTAGCACTACCGTGAAGGTATTCAGTGAAACGGTCGTATTCCTCACCAATATTTTCGTTAACATTATGTTTTCAATATTTCCAGAAGTCTACTAAAGAAGTAGAGGAGTTTCAAGTGTTGGTGGTGTTGAGTTTTCATCTTGGCTTCCTTTTGTTTTTCTGCGAAAGAAGAATCTTGTACGAAGTTATGGATTGTCTGTGTAGAAGATTAGAGCTACTTCGGTTAGACAAACACACTTTGATTTACTGTGACGCGGTTTATTTTGTTGCATACTCTGCACTAGACCTTGTCTAAGCTGAGGGAAGGCTTCTGAAATTGTAGGTTACTGTGAACCGTCTTGGTTGCAGTGATGAATTTATTATGCGACTCATATTGTTCTCCCACGACCGACTTTCTATTAACCTCGGCATTGATCAAGTAATTCTTCGTATTTTTGTTGAGCAAACGCGAGGTGTTACTATTCTTTGTTCACGATTAAGCTGACGTTTCGGCGGATTTCGCCTTCCTCAGAGCCTGGAAAGGTCAAGTTGATAGCAATCTACTCGGCCAGACGCCTCCATAACCAAACAAAGAAACTCTAAACCAAGGTTTCAATCACATTGAACACAGCTCTGCGCACTCACCGCTTTCTATGAGGTTTCCACTAAGTTTCACTAGGTTTCCACTTTCTCACGTAGAGACCAACCGCACAGAAATCACATGGAAGCATAATGTGCCTCTCACATCAGAATAGCAGTCTTATATACTGCCCTATATCACGCGTGATAATGAGGCATTCTTCCCTGTTGAGCAAAGGACAAAGCAGTCGTCTACATACCTACAGTAGAGTAGCGGCCCGAGATCAGTCACCGGTGCTTCCACCTTAGACATAAATGCAATGGCAAGGCTTGGAGCCAGTCGTTGTCCCATTGCCAACCCTCTTATTTGAGCGTAGTACTTTCCGGACCATCTGAAGATTGAGCAGCTCAAGCATTCTTTTAAGAGTGCCATCAAGTGCTCTATCTTGAAGCCATACATGTTTACTTCTCCTTCGTGTTGTGTAAGGAGTTCGAATATGGCTTGCATTGCGGAGTCATTCTACACGTTTGTATAAAGGCGGTAACGTCGAAGGACTCCATTACGTACGCGCTGCTGGGCTGCGCAGTACGTAGACGATCCAGAAACATCTTGGTATTCGTAAGATGGGCTGGAATGTGTTTCAACAACTGGTTAAATATTAGGGTTAAAAACCATGTTATCCTGTCCGTTGGCTCGTCTACGCAGCTAATGATAGGTCTAACCTTAAATAGTGATGGATCGGTAGACGCAAGATCATCGCTGGATACTAACTTATGAGTTTTTATAAGTACAAGACGGGGCATGTTGGTAAGTCAACTTTTAGTTGAGAGATAACTGATAGTTTCAAACCAGCTGCCCTTGCCATTTTGGCCCATTCGTGGTTTAATTTTCGGTATTTACTTTTAAATTCGTTCTCAGATGATGGGCGATAAAGCGAAGGATCTTCAAGATGTTTTTTCGTTATCTCCACATCTAACTGACGAGGAATTACGACAAACTCTCCACCCTTATCACTAACGGAAAGTCTTATGGTTTTCAACCTTATCAGCTCTCGTACCTCTCGCATACCACGTTTTTGCACTGGAGTGAGGTTAGAGCTGTATCTTTTCGCGCGATAGTGATTAAGGACTTTGAGAGTTTCATTCGCAAACATCCGAAATTTAACATCAACTTCATTATTGGGCTCTTGTTGACTGTTCGCCACAGGCTGTTCTACTATCGTATGTTCTTAGCAGCAGTTCTCAGCATACTACCATAAACGACGAGAAACGTCTTTTTGCTTCGGTCTCCGATTTTATTCTACTCAGTTTCGTAGACAGTGCCACCGGCTCCTTAAGGAGCGAATCCGATGCTAATATGCAGGAGCAGCATGCACAAATCGTCTGCATAGTTTTCCAGTTTCTTTTTTCGGAAGCCCAAACAGCGATTTTAGCAACCTTTCATCCTTCCCAGCACCGATAAATGGTTCTGTGTTTGTCTCTGTGTGTACATCTGTGTATGTGTGGAAAGAGTGAGGGGACTTCACAAAGCGTCAGAAGGTTTTGTTATTTTATTTTATTTTTATTTTTATTTTTATTTTATTTTATTTTATTTTTATTTTTTATTTTATTTTAGCCTTTTATTTTTACTGCTTTTGACGAGAAATACCCATAAGTAGCACACGTCGTTCTGCTACTATGAATGTTGTGTATTCTCATTGACAACTT